ATTACGTGCATATGATATATTAAAATTCATGATATTTGTAAGAAAATTTGAACTTTTCGACCTAATTTAAAAAAAGTCCAAGTCCATAATTATCCCGTTTTGTTTAAAATTATTAATAATTTTGGTATTAATAATGATTTAAATCATATTTAACTATTTAGTCAGTCGGTTATTCATTAAAAAATTTAATGAATTTACATTTGCCAGTCTTAAGTCATAAATATTTATTTTCGTAGCTATTAAGAGCATACCTACAAAATTTTTGCTATCGACTTCCAAATTTGCCACTCTAGACCGAATATTTTTTCCAACGCGTCCGCGATACACGTATTCCGCAATCGAGTCGGCGAAATAGATTTCGACAAACAGACGCAGGGTCGCATTCTTAATTTCTAAACAGCGATTTAAATTTGTGCTAACGCATTAATTATGTGCGAAATTTATTGGATTTTTTCAATTTATTTGTTTACATTGTTTATTTTTTCAAATTTCATTTAATCGTATACTATGTATTCTTAGATTTTATAAACTTCAAATTATAACTACAAGATATAAAAATATAAGATTGTCGTTGAAAAAATAGTTAAATTTCTTATATTTTTAAAACGGAGACTAACTTATATACAGGGTTGGGCAAAAGTCCGGAATAAAATTATTATCTGTTAAACCAGTAATTTAAACAAAAAACGCTGAAACACAATAATTGATTTTATATTGGACGGATTTGTTGCCAATAAAATGATTTTTTTTTCTTCAACCCCTTAGTTGCAACCCTACCCAACTTTTTTTTTTTTAATGCAAAGGTATGTCGTGTGTAGGGTCATTGAAAAGCCCGTGAAAAATGGAATCTAAAACATACCTTTTTTTTTATTTTTCTCATGTTGTTATTTGGAAATGAGAAAAAAATTCTTTTAAAAACAAATATGTTACAAATACTTTTTTAGTGGTATCGACGTGTGAATTAAGGCTTACTCTACTTAACAGGCTCCAAGGCAATGGTAAAACCTAATATCGGTAGCCTATCTTTAATTCTGGAATGAACTTTTATTAAAAGCAGGCGAGCCTGGTCAGGCAGCACACCAAATTTTATTGATTTACCGTTTAAAACTGATAAGGCAATTTAGCATCAACATTCGTTGAAATTTATGTTTTAAGAAAAAACAAAAACATAAAATGGGTTTAAATCTAAGCCATTGTTGATCAGTGAACTTCAAAAAGGAAAACAGGTGTTGCATTTTTGTACAAGTTTTTTTTACAAAGGGTTCGCCTGTTTTTATTAGTTTTTATTATCGCATTACTTGCCAATATTATTAGAAGAAATAGTGACTGATGGGAACGATGTTTTTTTGTTTTTTGTTTTAATTTTATTATGTATCTACTATTTTTTATCAATATTACACTAATACCCTATTCTAAAAGTAGCTTCATTTCTTACAATGAACTTTTTATTATTACCTTTTAATAAACTTTTAAACCAATATTAAAATAAAAATAGCTGTCTACAATAAGTCTAATAAGTAAATATTTTTAGAAGAGCAAATTTAGAAAAAAATATAAGTATAAATTAATTCCATAGCAACAAAAATATTAAAAACTATTCTAAACCATTAAAATGTTCGCGAGAAAAATAAAACCGAGTCCGTCCACAGTTATCATTTTAGAAGAGTGTAGTATGCAAGAGAGACAACGTAACGTCTGATATTTTTAAACCATATTTAAAAGCGCTTTCGTATTTCCCATTTTCTATCGAAACTAATTGATATTTTTAAAATCGGTTTTTTTCTTTAATTAATTTAATCCATGAACTAGAGAGGAAAGTTATTTAGATCAACGAAAAGAAGCCCTAAATTGCCAATTTTTTAGAATTAAAATATGTCGTCAAATTTACGATTTTCAGTCGCTCCCCAAATTTACTGGGAATATATTTATTTTTTGGCAGATACTTTCCTGCTTAGATTTAAACCCATTCTTTAAGAAAGTTTTTGAATTTTTGAAAAATATTCAGTAGTTTTCTCAGGATTTGGGAAATGCTTTTACATTGAAAGTCCTATACCCAAAAAATTGTAGGTACGCTATTAAAGGTACTAGAATGTTCATTTTAGGAGTATTTAATTAAAAAAATTATTTTTTATAGTACCTATTTTATATAAAAATAACGACTTGAATTCTTAATTTTGGAGAATTGATTTACCGCTATCAAAAATGTATACAAATATTAAATGCAATATTTTTCGTAGATTACTATAGATATTTCATAATAATTTCAATCATTATTGAAGTAAGACGTTAATAATGGGTACATGATTTTGCGTTTTTTAGTTATTCTTTTGAAGTGCAAATATTACCTACGTATGAAGTACCTATCGAAGTTTATGTTTGGACTTTCTAATTGAGTTATGTAATTGGCAATGATAAATTAAAAATCAAGTGATAAAAATGATTGCAGTGTTAACGTTTTGCGAACTAAACAAACAGATTGTTCTTTTTAGGAATCTCTCTCTATCGGTTGGACTAATAAATTTTAACTGAATTGAATGCTATTTTTAAAACTAACTTTGCATTTTAGAATGCACCATTATTTATCTTTTATATCCGGAACTGTTTGGGAGTTTAGATTATTTTTTCTAAAGTTTGGCAATTTATGTGACGTCCCTTTAGATTGAAAAAAGTAAACATAAATTATAGATTCCTTTGCTAGATTAAAAAAATAAGAGAAACGTGCATTCTGAGCATAATTTTGTAAAGCATTATTTACAAATTATCCGCGATTTGAGATGAAGTACACAAAACAGATTCTTTACGTAAGAGTAATCGGCGTTTAGAAATGTTGAATAATTAGATAAGTATGTTGAACCCATTATCTAAAAATAAACCGATATTAACGAAGTTTTTCTGCTGTATAGGTAGGTAAGTCAAAAACTTAAAAATAAAAATAAACAATATGTTAAGGCGAGCTAAATTGCAAAAAAAGAAAATCCTAAACCTATAATTAGTCTCATAGTTGTCTCAAGTCCAAGAAATACATAAAGCTCTGGATTGTTTCCGAGTGCTTTACCTGCATCTTTTATTTTTGACATAATCACTTCGTCACAGACATATTTTTTTTTATTATTTTATAACATCATTTAAACTCAATTCACTTCCACTTATTGTTTAAGTCAACTTCTTTATTTGACTTGCCGACTGACAATCAAATTTATGATCTCTAGTATCACTTTACGGACTGTACTAAACTATTTTTTAATTCTATTTAACTATTTAGGTAATTCAACTAAAAATTATTTTTGATTTCCATTATCACTTCTATGGCATACAATCTGTATAATAGGAAATTAAGTAAATATTTGATGATAGCACGATCGACAAACTCAAACAAAATTTGATCTGCAAATAGTTTCGCAAAGTAACAGTTAAATGAAAGTACTGGGTATTAATGGTGGAATGAAACGCATGTTTTCTTCAAATAAGAACTCGATATCAAAGCTCTGTAAAATATTTTAAAACTATGTATATTTCCTATACCGAATAACTAATCAGTTTATTCACATTAATTTTTATGACGAAAAGATTTTTGATTATTATTTTTTGTCGAAATTATACATTATTGATTAACATTTGAATTTTTAAGTTATGTTATTTTATCTAATTAATTCAGTTTTAATGTGATATTTTTATAAATACGACAGATAAATGGGCCATTTTCAGCTTATAAAATTTATTGTATCCAATAAACTAGTTCGTATTAAGATTAAAAACTCAATAACTTTAGAGACGTAACTTGAGCTTTTTTTTCTAATTCAACAAACGAAATTTATTCAGCACAACCGTTCACTTGAGGTTTGCATAGATAGACACACGTATTATTAGTTTCGGAATAGGTTAAGCTTATTTTAGCACCTGAATACGGCCGGAGGAGTTCGTCATGCGATAAATACATACGGCATTACATTAGAAGACGAGTCAAGAGTTATCAGATTCCTCAAAAGCCGCGCGACTCCAACTTGAAGTTTCGGTATCGATGAGTAAGATGACGTCGCCGTCGTGCTCCTGGAAGTAGGCCAGTCTGGTGCACCGACGACGAACACTCGGCTTTTTTAATAACTCTACGCTGACTAATTACAATTGGGCGATTAGCGATAACTAAACCCTCAGATAATTCTCGTAAATAGGAAGTGCAATTTGCTTAATCAAATACACGGGATTTTCGATTTGTTTGATCGAGTGTTTTTCAGTCGATAAATAAGAATGCATTTAAAAATAAATTGGTTAATTTATTGATAAGTAATTGGCTTAATTGAAAAATGTTGATGGCTGTAAAAGTGATAGAAAGTTCGCGTTAAAATTAACCCAAACGGACTTGTATCCGGACTATGTCAAAACTTTTTCCGGTGATTTAAATTGTTACTGGCATGAAAAACTGTTTCGTTTGCGATAAGGAAAAATTTGCATATGAAAGTTGTAGTAAAATTATGTTGTGGGCTAAATTTCAAGGAAATTTTGATCTTCTTTCGAACGTCGAAAGAATAAAGTACCAACATATTTAACGATTTAAATGATTTCCTGAAAACCTTGAGTTTTTTAAGTAGTTATAGGAATCATATAATAAATTATTTAATCAATTTATTGTAAATAGTTTTTTTTTTTCGTTGTTTTCCATAATAATCGCTTAAACCATTTTATGAGAATGCTTTAGTTTTGTTATTAAGAATATTGTATGTTGTCGTCGTTTTAATTTATAATTAGTTGTTTGCAATAGTAAATTATTTTGAGAAGGTTTAGATCAGTAGTTGAAGGATTTGATTGAGTGATGATTAATGTTAAGTTGAAACGATTGTGCTTACTGAGTATTTCGTTTTACTAAAATTTTAACGGTTGAAGGAGAAAGTAATGTGCTTTTTGAAGTGATGAAAAAAATGATCGCTAGTAGTTTCTTTAGTATTGGTTTAAATTAAAGGTAGTAGTAGTGGTGCTTTGCGTAAAGGAAAAAAAATCGGACTCACAGTAAGCACTGGTATCGTCGGTGGTGCCATTGACAGTTCCGTCAGGTAGTATTTGTAAATGTCTATTCTTGATAAACATTTGTATTTTTCTGCCGGTACCAGTGACGTGAGAGAGATTGGTGCTCCTTTCGCTGCGAGCCGCAGGATCTTTCAACAGTATGTCTTCGGATGAAGAGGATTCGGAATCGTCTAAAATCGAGGATTGTTTGGAATTGGAGTGAAAATCGGCGGGCGGAGCGGCGTACAAGAAACCACAAATTGAAGCAGCTAGCAGTCCCAGAAACAGCGTCTTCACCATGACTGGGACATAGTGTCGCACTGTAATCTCACTGTCACTGTCTGTCACTGGTGGCAATGCTAGGCCGGCCCCGGTGCCAACCGTGGATCCTTAGCACCGCCACAACACGCGTTATCATCATAACTCTCTCCTAATACATGCGTGCTACTTGTTCGACGGACGCGAACACACTACTAAAACTAATACTGAACTGAACTGAACCAACTGAACTGACAATGCCGTGTGTATGAGCCGATACGATACTGGCGCGATCTGAGTATACAGGCCTATATACAACCCGGTTGATGCTTTTTGATATTATGCTTCACTTTTCTGCTTGTACTTTCCGTTGGCGAGATCTCCTTCGAGACGTCGACGGACGTCCCAGTTACCTTTTGCACCTTAGACGACGACGCCGACCGCAACCGCCGAGCCACCGTCGATGAGTTGTGTCCTCAACGCCGCGCCGCAGGCATTCTTCAAACAAATATCACCTTCCCCACTTCTTTTCCTAACGCCGAAACCAATAAAACAAATTTAACGTCATCTAATCCAATAGTCAATTATTGTTTTATTATTCAACGCGATAAGTTTTCCAAAGAAAATTTACCTACCTTTCAACCGCAAATATAAAGAAATTCGTTCGAAATAATAATGATATAATTGCATCGGTGTCACAATGCACGTTCACTTTCTATTTTAATTTCAAATTTTCGATATACACTTTGGTGTTGATTCGGTTTTTTGGATTTCGTGTTTGTTTTAATTAAACAATAAACATGCGTTAATGATGTATTGTCTGTCAATGGAGTTTTTTGTTGTACGCAATTTTTTTCGAATCTAGAGTACAATGACCTGATCCATTTTAATGGTCACACATCACTGTAAAATTTAGCATTAACGTATTTTTATTCATTTATTTGACTCCAATACGATATTTTTAATTACATGTGCCATACCTACTTTTTTAAATCTTAAAAAAATTAAAATTAAAAAAAATAGGCGAAAGGATCTTAATCTAAAAATATTAAATCAATTAATTGCAATAATGTTTAATCTTCCTTTCAAAATTTTTTGTCACCTTTTGAATGGACGAGTAAATACTCTGTAAAATCTTTAGCTATAATAATGAGGTATAATAAATAGTTATTAATATACTTCCACAACTACATATTATGTGCTTTTTATTATAAATTTCGCAGCTATCCCCTTAATAAATAAGGCGCAGCAACGAATTAAACTGTGTAGAAAACTTTCACGTACCAATTCCTAATGCACCGCAGAAACCTCAAACCTCAAACGTCCGCAATATTAGTAATCCAAAGGAGCCAAAGCGTGGTTGCGGATTTACCAACGGACCATTTCGGGTTAATCCTTGATAGGATATATTTATTCAAGCGTTTGCTGTTAAAACAATTTAAGGAAGAATCTATTGGAATTTTACGAGTCGATTGTCACGTACACTTTTGCGAAAATGTACTCCCTACGCATTGCAAATATTAATATTATTTGAGGGAATGCCTACACATGAAAAATAATTCGTAGCTCACAATTTTCTTGCTCGGTTTTTTTTGGGATTTCGACAAACATTCTATAAAAGTCCGTACGAAATATTTTCCCATAATGTGAGAAAAATATCGTCAACGTTCGGTACATTTTTATGTCGACTAATTTATCGGCTTTTTATAGGTTAATTTTAGCCGTAACCTGCAGTTTATAAGGGTTATTATATTTTCAAATTTAAATTCAAAGTCTAAATGGAATAATTTTATTCTATTCTTACTGCTTGTTTAAAACTGAAACTGACCACTAAAAGTTAAACATTTTATTAGGCCTATAAAATTACAATAATGATCCAAAGTGAAGTTAAAGTGAATGAAAAAAATCGTTCCGACGGTTTAGCGTCGATTTGCGTCACCGGCGGTGTGTACGTGTTGCCAGTCAGATAGAAAATCACACAATTATTTATTTTATTGCAACCTTAATAGCTAATTAAGTGGCCGAGTTGGAAAAATTCGGTACATTCCGTTATGAAACGGCGAAAATAAAAATTCGACGCCGTTATTTAGCTTGCAAAGGACAATTACATCATTCGTCTCAACAAAAATTTTAACCGATTTATTTGAATTAAATACTTAATAATTTTTAAATTAAATTATGCGATCATTAAATGTTGTGAAATATTAAGTACAATCCACTTCAAATTTTTAGATAAAATAAATAACCGGGCCCATGTCGATTTGGAACATGGACTGGGGTGGTCTCATCTTCAAAGGGCAGGGTAGAAACAATAGTAATATAGAATGAACGTCCAATTTACCAACTCGATAAAATCTTCCTAGTCGCATTCTTACACTTATCTTATTATTCTGAATCAAATTGTTTTTAGTTAATCACACTTTTTCCCTGTAACTATTCGATAAAATAGACCGCGACAAACCCATTAATTAATTTTTATTGTGATATATTTGAAATCACCAGATACAGATTTAAAAATACATGTGTAATGTTTTATAGTAATTGTAATTTTCTAAAAATAATCTTTCTAGGAAAGCTACTGAAATTCTTAAATTTACTTCCATAATTATTTATAAATGTTTAAATGTTATCCTCATAGGATCTCTCAGCAGGCGAACATTATCAGCAAATAAAAAATTTTAATAACGACTATTAACAGTTAATTTGTTGATGTGTTTTAAAATGGATATGTCAAAATAACTAAGAAATTATTTCCTGGTTTTTAAGAAACGAATAATTTCATCTTCATTATTTTAAAATTTGCTTTTCATTTTATTAATTGGTCATAACGGATTAACGGATTATTAAAGTTGGTACTTCATTTATTTAACAAAAAACGTACAACTGAAAGACTGTTGTAATTTTGTAAATTGAATTTAACCCTCCTGCTGAAATGTAGTTCAATTGACTTGATGGGGCAGTTAAAGAGAAATCGCAATCAACGCTGAAATGCATTAGACATTTTGTCACAAGAATTTAATTCACTAAGGAATTCTTGAACGTTTTGTGATTTGTGTTTCGAATTGGTATTATCATTTCCTGCTGGCGAATAATACTACACGTATTCTGCCACATTTGCCAATTTTATTATAAATATGTACGTTCCTGTCACATTTTACCCATTAAATGATTTTAACAGTTATTATTTTTTGGATGTGAAGTAAACGTTAAAATTAAAACGGATACGTACTTAAAGTTCGATTTTTAATTTCAGTGCGTTTGAATTATGATCTGCTTGGTTTTCGATGGTGCCAAAAATTTCACGAGTTTTTCTGCTTAGTATTGGTCACATGAGTATTATTCCCTTGTTTATTTTACTTGGTCATACTCTTCTATTTTTTATTTAATGTCAATACTTTTGTTGTCTGTGAAATTTCCAATGTAGTGTTAGATACCTGTAAAATATAAAGGATTGTTCGTTTTTTTTAGTAGATACAAATCTCTTTGTATTCAGATATATTATTTGATTCTGGAATTCCTTTACTGCGGTTTTTATTGTTTACAAATTTCGCTTGACAAAACAAAAATATATTTTAATTTACTTTTCGGCTTCGATAAGTTTTAAATAAAAGATTTACTATATGTATAAAAGCTTTATGAGGTTGGCCGAATTACGTATAGAATTCATTATTCATTTTCAATGGAAATTTTAAAAATTTCTTGAATGAACCATTTCCACAATTATAATTCTGCCTACACTTGAAATATATCACTTATACAAAAGACTTGATTTTAAGTTGAGGCATAGTTCACACCGTGAAGTGCCATAAAGGAAAAATTTGCATATATAGGTAATAAACATGAGGTTAATTTCCTAAACACTTCACCAACAGCACAATGCTTATTAAAGAACGTTAGTTACGATTCGAGGAATTCTAGGAAACAAATTTATGCTTATTTTAGAAGACGAAAAAAATTACCCTATCCTTAGACGCCAGTACACATAGAAGAGAAGAATTATATTTTTTACAGCTCAATAGACCTATATCTCAGTTGTGTTGACACTTTACTAGGATAATAGCTGTAATAACTTTCGTCCTCAACAATAAAATTCAAATGAATTAAAATATTTTGAGAGAAATTAAAAAATATTTATACCAATAGGGGGATTCTCATTTTTTATTATTATTAACATTCTACTAAATTTTTACTGTTACTTTATCATATCGTTACTTAGATACTATTGCATCGGATAGGGTAAGTTAATATAAAAATTCGAAATTTATGTTGTTTCAGTCTTGCATTGGATGGACGAAAATTCATGGTTTTCATGATATCGGATATTTAAGTCATTAGACATAAAGCAAAATGATATATTGTAGACCTGAAGAGGGAGATAAATTTTTTCCATTGCTATATCTGATTCGGATTCTAAGTAAATAGAAGAAAAGTTGAATTCCGTTTTCTGTTAAAATGAAATAGTCACGTTAAGGTTCAATGGTACGCTAGATTTTTTAAAATCTAATACTTTTGGCCAGTTTTCTATAACCCTTAATTTTTAAAAAATGTTATAAATCACTAAAAACACCCTACTATATCTTCCACTCTTCTGGCGATTCTCGTACAAAATGATTTATTTGCTGTTATATTTCCCTATTGTGTCAAATTAACATTTGAAACAGTAAATTCAGGCGTCTTTAAGGGTTTGTTAGATTTAATCGCCGATAAACTAACCTGGCTACCTTCCAGCCCCTAATTTTGTCACTTGGCGCATTTAAATTATATCCCCATACATTTTGTCGGTTCGCCACAAAAATCTTTATCTTATCAGATAAGAAGTGAAGCATAGCTTCATTTGAGTTATTTGTTGAATGCTGGTTTTATTTACAAATGCCTTGATAGTGTCATTAACTGCAACTTAAACCGGTCCTGTTCATTTTTGAGTGTAGCGTTTATCAGTAATTAGTAATTAAGTGAAACTTGATTTTTTTGTATTAATTGTAAATTGATTTGTGAATGTAATTAGTACATATCAAAATCATAATATTTTTGTAAAAAATTAATCTGCTTTGGGAGACGATTTCTTCTTTCTTAGTTGACATTTATGTAATTGCAGCGGTGAACAGGAAATGATTTGTGCATTATTTACAGGTCGTATAATGTTCAATGTGTTTTATCGCAACGAACTTTTGATCGTTTTGCTATAGCAAGACTATAAATTTAATTGAGATATATTTAAATTTTACAAAGTAAACTAATTGATTTTTATAAAAATAAAAATTTTATAGCTCAAGATGACACAACAAAACTATTAATTATCTTCAAAAATCTTGAGTGGCGTTGAAAATCATGTTATTACATATGTTCTCTAAAAATCGCTGAGAAAAAGTGATCAATAACGTAAGAACAATTAGTAAATGTGTTTTCCAGTAAGTCGTCAAGCTCGA